GCCGACACCAGCTGCCCGGGTCCCAGCCAGGGGCCAACTCGAGGCCCTGGTGCTGCTGCGGGCTACCGAGAGCTTGCGGTGAGGTGCGAGCGTAGCCCCGAGGGGCTGTGGGGGCAGGACAGAAGTGCAGCAGCAGCCCAGCAGGAAATAAGTAGCCCAACACTGTACCTGTCTCCCGGCCTGCAGCAACAGCCTAGGCACAGGGCCAGGCTGACACCTGAGCCCCACCAGGGTGGCAAGCATGGCAGGGCTGTCCCCACACCCCTCCAGGACCCACGGAGACCAGGTACAGCCCTGCGCCCTCCCCACGCTCCCAGGGCACTGCCAGGCCCTGCTCCCCCCTACACCCACACAGTGTGGGGTCCCACATTCCCTCTCCGACCCCCACAGCCAGCCCTCCAAGCTCTACCTGCTGCTGCACCACGCCACGCCAGCACTGCGAGATGCCCCACAGGCTGCTCGACTTCTCCACCACCGTCTTTGCAGCCCTGGCCGGCACCTCCTTGTTCTTCCCCTCCTTCCCACCTGCCAAGGGACAACCCTAGGCTCAGCGTGCCTCTGTGGGCAGGCTCCACACACTGACCGACAGCAACATCCCCATCTCCCTTGGCAGGAGCAGGGCAGAGGAGATGCACCCCACTGAAGGGGCACAGCCACAAGCATTCCCCGGCTCAGGAGCCTCCTCTGCCACAGGGGCCTCCCCAGCGGATCCCCACCGCTGCAGCCTGGCACTCTGGACCACCACCCTCCCAGTCCCACAGGAGGGCAGACCCTCGCTCACCAGCTACTCTTGCCTCCTCCAGCTCCTGGCTTCCGGGGTCCACGTGCACCAGGAGCTGGGTCAGGCGCCGCACACGGGAACCAAAGACAGCACCACGGCTCGCAGCGCCACAGGGTGGCTCCATGCTCTCTAGGTACTCGCTCAGCAGCCAGGCCAGGGGGCTGATGCCGTGGGGGTCTGCGAGGCCAGACAGGCTCAGAGCAGGGTGCCTCAGCCTGGGGCACGGCGCGGACAGGCCCGGGAGAGCGCAGTGTACCTGGGCTGGTGATGCTCTGCACCAAGGGGTTCACCAGGGCCTCCCAGCACGTCCTGCCCAATGCCCAGGCTGCCTCGTCATCAGGAAGGAAGCGGTCGGCGAAGCCCTGCTCATGCTGCAGCACCCGGTTCAGCCTGCAACAGCGACCAGGCAGCACACAGTGCTGCCGGGCACCCGCCGATGGCCAAGGGGACACCCCCAGGAAAGCAGAGTGTGGCAGTCACTCCCTGCCCTGCCACTTGCCAGGCATGACAGCTCAGCAGCCCCACTCACCCCCAGCAGCAAGGGCCCCTCACTGCCCCCAGGGCCTCCCTGCACTGGGCCTTGGGGCCCTCCCAGCCCCCACCGAACCGGGGGGCTGCGCAACGTCTGTGGCCGCAAGATCCTGCCTGCGCCTGACTGACCTCCACCAGGTCAGGACGCACCCTGCGGGGCACCTCTCTGGTGGGTTAGCCATGCCCACGTGCACAGATTAAACCTGGGGGACCCCAAGGTGGCCCTGGCCCTCTGGAATCGCTGGTGGCCACAGAGGAGCGAGGGCCCCTCCTTGTCCTGGCACAATACCTGGCTGCTCCTCTTCTGTCCCTGCAGTCCCCTCATCAGCTGCCAGCACCAAAGCCCCAGGCCCTGGGACACTGGGGACACAGTGATGCAGTCAGGAGACAACCCACCTGCCAAAGAGCTGCAGCAGTCGCCCCCGGTCCCGGCAGATCTCCTGGCACCAGGCATGAGCCCGAGCTGTGCAGGAGAGGAACGTCCGCCGGCACAGCTGCTCCTTGAAAACGGGCCAGAAAGTGGGCTTGGGGCCCAGCACCTCAATGCCACGCACACGTGTGTCAATGCCACCCTACGGGAGAGCGTGACCCTCAGCTCATCAGGCACGGCCCTGATGCCCCATGTTGCCAGCCCCCTGGCCCAGCCCACTGCTCCCCTACCTGCTGGCACCGCTTCACCCGGATCTGAATGACGGGCCAGAATCGGGTCATGTTCTCCAGCAGGATCACTCTGCTGTCTGAGGGCAGGATGGTCACCTGCAGGCAGACCGTGAGCCCTCAGCATACCAGGCACTGAGTGTCAGCCACCCTGCATGCTCCTCTGGCCACCGCCCATTAAAGCCATGGCCTCTGCCCCCCCAGCACGCCCTATGCGGACACGAGGCAACCCCCACCAGGGTCCCCCCTTCTGGCTCACAGCCCCAGCACACCAGCCTGCTGCAGACTGTGCTGCAGGGCTGCCCATGCCCAAATCTCCAGCAACTGCTGCCTACAGCCAGGAGGAGGTTCCCGCAGCACAGTTCCTGCCACCCCCACCTTCCTGTGGGGCATCTCCCAGGGCCCTGCACCAGGGCGAGACCTTCAGGGGACACAGCAAGGACCAGCCCACCACTCCCATGGAGCCCCGTGGCCTGAGCAGCCCGTGCGAGACTCACCGCATTGAGCTCAGTTCTGATGGTGGCAGGGCTGTCTCCCCCCAGCACCACGACACGGGCCGGCATGTAGCTGGAGTCCTCGCTGGCTACCAGCATGCTCATCTCCCTGAAGCACAGCAAACAGTGCTGCCCAGCAGTCCTCACCTCCCTGCCCTGGCCCCTGATAGCCCCACGCACTGTTGCCCACATCCAGCAACCCCCAGGACGGGGACCGCGGGGACAGGGCTCGCACAGATCCCCAAAACCCTCTCCTCCCTGCACATCTGCTGGCCCTCCTGGCCCCAAGGCCCCTCAGCCTCCCTGGCCCAGCCCCACCTGACCACCACACCACACTGCATGTGGACAGTGATGAAGTGGGAGCCGGTGCTGCCATTCGACTCCCAGTAGGTCTTGGGGTTCCTGTCCGTGAGCTTGCTGGCCCGGTGGGGGTTGGAGGAGACCTGCACCTTCTCCCAACACTTGTCCTCCTTCACCTCCACGCTGGAGCCTGTGGGGAGAGCACATGGAGCCTCCAGCCACCAGGCCAGCACGGGGCTCCAGCTCCTGCTCCCCACACTCACCTCGGCACAGGTTGCGCAGAAAGACATCAAAGAATGGGATGCTGATGGGCTGGTGGCGCCGGCGGTGCTCCTCAATCTGCCCCAGGACCAGCTACGGGGTAGGGCAAGGCTCTTACTGGGAACGCTGGGTCCTCCTCCCCTCGCCCATCGCAGGGCTGCCCCTCCGTGCCAGGGACAGCTGGACGGCCCCCAAGACCCAGAGCCCCAGCACAGCTGGGCCTCCCCAGGCCCACCTGGATGCAGCCAGCCAAGATGCTAGTCGTCAGCTTCTTGTAGAGGCTGGCGTACTTCTCACAGTCAACCACCAGGTCGAGCAGGGCTGGCGCCAGTGACAGGGGCGTGCTGTGCTTGTCCAGGGCTTTGGACAGAGCTTCGCGGGTGCCCACACGGCACATGACCACCGCGCAGTCCTTGCTGATGGTGGCCAGGCGATGCAGGAAGCCTACGACCCCCTGCACCACCTGCTGAGCAAGCAGACATGAGCGGATGCACCGGCACTAGGAACCCACCAGCACCCAGCAACAGGGGCCTGCAGTGCTCCATCCCCTCCACCCCAACACCGCAGCAGCACCCGTGAGAGCCTGGCCAGGCACAGGGCTGGGCACGCCAGCCACTGGGACGTGGCCACAGCCAGGACAGCCTCTCCCCACCTCTCCCAGCCCGTTGGCCACAAGGGCTGCTGCAGGCGGGGACCCCGCTTCACCAACGCCAGGCCCAGCCTATGCACGGCACAGCCAGCAAAGCTGCCCCTGCCTGCTGGGAGTCCCGGGGCCCCCTCACCTCCCGGTCACTGCTGTGGGTACTCAGGGAGGACAAACAAGGCTCCACACACTCGTGCCAGGGCAGCACATCCTCCTGGTAACCGTCCAGGAACTTGTTCAGGATCCTGAGTGATGGAGGGGGCCCACTCAGGCCAGAGCACAAAGACAGCGGTGCCAGAGGCA